AAAAAAAAACCATATGACAGCATTAAAAAAAATAAATAAGCTAAAAAAAATATTCACAAATAATAATTAAAAAAATTACATAAAAAATGTTTTAAAGTCCCCCGCCCCCCCACATACACATGCAAACATGCGTTGGGTGCGCCTATGTACGAAAACGACAATTGCGCCTGCATATCGCCGCGAACGTCGGAGTGAGAGCAATAATTTTAGGGCCATCAATCACTGATAACACTAAACTGATGAGCGGTAAAAACGTTTAAAGTGTCGCCTATGGCCAAATTTGGTTGCGGTCGTTTTCTACAAATTCGCGGGCGTGCGCAATTTTAAAGGTTGACATATTTAGTGTCTATTTACCCGACGTGACCCCGTCTTTTATATTGTACCAAAAAATTGGGGTGAAAATAAATGTTTCATAACATTTTTTAGGGAAACATGTTTTTTTTACAAAATTTAGGGTACTTTTTTTGTTATATAGTAAAAAATAAAAACCCCAGCGATGATTAAATACCACCAAAAGAAAGCTCTATCTGTCCCCAAAAAATGGTATAAAATTCATTTCAGTACAGCGTTGCATGACGGAATAAACGTCAGCCAAAGTACCGCAGCGCTGAACACTGAAAAATGGCCTGGCCAGGAAGGGGGTGAAACACCGCGTTCTTCAAGTGGTTAAAAGAGAACTATGGGGTATTGCTGTGCTCGCCCCTCCCCCGTCTGTTCCTGACAGTCACCGATCTCTGCAGGGAGATGAGCGGATTGGTGGTATGTGTTCGCTCACTTCCCGATCAATAGAGCCGACGTGTGACAGTTTCATTGTCACACATCGGCTCTAACTATGAGGATGAGCGAAAATCACTCGCCTCATACCGTGTTTCCCCGAAAGTAAGACATCCCCCGAAAATAAGACCTAGCGCTATCTTCGGGGATGTCTGTAATATAAGACCTACCCCGAAAATAAGACCTAGTTCGGGGTAGGTCTTATATTACAGACATCCCCGAAGATAGCGCTAGATCTTACTTCCGGGGTAGCTGTGAAGACCGGCCGCAGCTCCCTCCCGCCCCCTCGCCCGTCCACCTACCCGCACGCTGTTGCTCTCTGGATGACGACATCAGAGCGGAGAGGCAGCTCCCTCCCGCCCCCTACCCGACACGCCCCCCCTCCAGCAGCACGCATGCCCGCCCCCTCGTCTCCTTAGTTCCGAGCGGAGAGGCAGCTCCCTCCCGCCCCCCTGCCAGACACGCCCCCCTGGCCGCACGCATGCCCGCCCACCTGTTTGTGGCTCCCTGGACGGCAGAGCACAGCTGCAGCCAGGTAAGACATCCCCCAAAAATAAGACCTAGTGTCTTATTTCGTGCAAAAAAAAAAATAAGACACTGTCTTATTTTCGGGGAAACACGGTAGTTCTCCTTTTAACTCTGAACTAATTGGTTGTATCAGTTTTGAATGTGTTGCCTATTTAATTTGGATATTTTTGTTAGTTTGCATGCATACATAATTTTTAGCCTAGAAATATGTTTTTTCAAAACAATCTCATCTTTGTATTAAACCCATTGGCCCTCCTGTACATTAATGTCATTCTCAGCCGGTCAGTAAATTACAGCCATTGTAACGAAAATAGAAATCTGAAATATACGGACTTGTTTATCGACCATACGGCGCTGACATACAGACGTGGATACATTTGTTGGTACCCTTGCAGCTCATTGAAACAATGCATCATTCCCCCTGAAAAGTGATGAAATGAAAAGAAAGTGTAAAAAGAAATTGCTTATTCTGCAAAGATATTTTAAAAAGACCTGCACAGATCTGTTGGTACCACTAGAGAAGATTATACATAATTGGATCAAAGTGATAACTTAAAATAAGTTTTCTGGAATTAGTATCATACATGCCTTCAATCTTGGAATCAGTCAGTCAGCCTATTTGTCATTCTGCTGTTTTTGGTATCTTTGTGTTCACCACACTGAACATGGACCAGAGAAACCTAAGGAGAGCGGTGGTAAGAAAGTAAATGATAGACCAGCATCTCAGAGGTACAGGCTAGAAGTTTATCTCCAAGCAGTTTGATGTTCCTGTGACTACAGTTGCAAATGTTATTAAAAAGTTTGAGCTCTATGGGAGTGTAGCCAACCTCCCTGGATGCGTCTCCAAGAGGAAAATCAACCCCAGATTAAACAGAAGGATAGTGTGAATGGAAGACAAAGAGCCAAGGAAAGACATACAAGCTGAACTACAAGGTCTAGGACAATCAGAGTCCGATCGCACCATCTGTCGCTTTTTGACCTCAAAGCAAGAAAACTGGGAGGATGAAAAACCAGGAAATGTTACATAAAGAATTTATTTAAAAAAAACAAAAACATAAAAGAGCCAGACTGTAATTTTCTAAAAATGCATTAAAAAGCCACTATTCCTCTGGCAGAATGCCCTTTGGCCAGATGAGACAAAACTGGAGCTTTCTAGCAAGTCACACCAGCTCTTGGTTCACAGATGAAAACATCAAGCTTTTAAAGGAAAGAACACTATACTTACTGTGAAGCATGGAGGAGATTTGATCATGGTTTGGGGTTACTTTGCTGCAACTGGCATGGGGTGCCTTGCATTTGTACAGGGTGCAATGAAATTTAAAGACTCAAGGAATTCTGGAGCAAAATGTACTGCCCAGTGTCCGAAAGCTCTGCCTTGGTCACAGGTCCTCCAACACGATAATGACCCAAAACACAAAGAAAACATTGGACTATTCTGAAGTCGCCTTCTATTGAGCCCTGATCTAAATAGTAATAAACATCTAAGCAAAGAGCTGAAACATGCAGTCTGGAGAAGGCACCCTTCAAACCTGAGACCGCTGAAGTTTACTCAAGAAGAGTGGACCAAACTACCCGTTGGGAGGGGCAAAAGTCTCATTGAGGGTTCCAGAAATGGCTTGCTTGCAGTGGTTGCCTCTAAAGGTTGTGCAAACCAATATTAGGGTGTCTTCATTTTGTCAAGGCCATTTTTATTTGTCTTTTTATTCAAATATTCTATTGAATCAAAAATCAAAAGCAAAGCCTGTTTATTATTAAATATTAAATAAACAATAAAAAAAATACTGCTGATCTCCATGTCATTACAGGATACTTTCATGCCACAAAAGTTGAAGTGATTATTATTTGCCTAATTGCTGACGGCCTTTATTGCACAACTCCAGCTGCTTTATAGCAGAGATGTGTTTTTGATCTAGGCTTAGTTTTTGTGATTTCTGATTTATTTCTGCTGATGTCTTTTAATGTTTCTTATCATTACCAGCAAGAAAGGCGGCTGTTTACAAACTTCCATCGACAGCTTTTCTGCTGGCTTGACAAGTGGGTTGAGCTAACAATGGATGACATTCGCAGGATGGAGGAGGAAACAAAGAAAGAGCTTGATGAGGTTTGTATCGGCTTATCAGTGATCGTATGACTCGCATTTTAAAGCCTATGGAGTCTGTTCTCTGGATTTCTCATGTGCTCACCCACTGAGGGTGGTGTCTATGGTAGAGCAGTGTTGTCACCCTAGGCTGCTCTCCTTGTAGATAAGATATAACAAAGCCCTTTGAATTGTATATTTAGCAGACCAAAAGGGAGCAAATATGAGAAGGTAATTGTTGGCGTTTACATTCACTTTGAGTTATTTTAAAAAAATAGCCTGTTTATCTTTTTAGGGAAAATCTAGAAATGTTAATTGTGCCTAAGCAATGTCCTAAAAAATAGCTGCGCTTTCTTTGCCTAGGCTCCACTGTGTGTATAGCCTCATTGCTGTATCTCTGCAGCGTGAGATCATGTGAGGCACTGCTGCCTGTGAATGCTAGTCTGGTAGTATTGTATGGAGGGTGTTGTCACTACTTTTTCACTGTTCTCTGTGCTGGAGAAAAGACAGCAGTGCAGGATCTTACCTCCTACTTCATTCATTCTGGGAATTTGTGTTCATGTTGCTTCTTAAATATTACCGCAATAGTCGTCAGGGGCAGCTTGTTTTTGAGAAAAGAAAGCAGAGCCCTATTGTTCCACCAAGATGGCTTTGCCGCATTGAATCGTGCTAACTAAAACATATATAATAGTCGTGTTAAGGTCTTGGCGTTTTTTACCTTAATGCATTAGGGTAAAAACGGACCAGCACCTTTTTTTCTACCCCAGTCCCCTCCACACTTACCGCTCTTCCACGCCGCCGGTCCGAAGCGATCATCCGTTCTCCGAACTTCCGGGTTGCGGAGGGAGGATACTGATGGCACAGGAGCCCATAGGCTCCTTCTGCCATCAATCAAAGAGGGAAGGGGCGTGGGCTGCCACAGGGCTGTGTGTGTGTCTATGGACGCAAACAGCCACTGCGGAAACATCGCACACGGGTGCCTCCACTAGAACGTTGGTGGCACCCGTGCAGGGGGTGGGGGGGGAAGAGCGCTGCGGGGAATTAGAAACTTTTGAAGAAAAAGAGCAACAGCCTCCAGCAAAGGAGGGTCTTCTTAATTAAAAAAAATAGGCTTTAATATCACTAAGTGTAAGTTTGCTCTAATATTACTCCAAAATAATGACCCGAGATAGAGAAATACGCTGATGGAAGTTATAAGACAAGATTTATGTAATTTTCTGAGCAGCGGATGATTAGCACCAATGTATTGAGTTCAGTGAGTAATCTGAATATATTTTTGGAGGCTTTGGACTAAATAGGTAGTTTGTGTGCATGTTTTACATCTTAAAATATATCTATGGCTTGTACAAAGTTGGGCTGCTGTTTTGTTAGTTTAGAAAAAACACGTTCAGTTTGACCAGTCGCATTACCAAGGCAAAGATGTTTGAATGTGGGAATTAAAATGGAATTTAAGTGGAAAGGGGGATACAGGGGCTTGCAAAAATATTCACTCCCCCTTGGCATTTTTCCTATTTTGTTGCATTACCACCTGAAATTAAAATGGATTTTAATTTGGATTGCATGTGATGGACATACACAAAATAGTCCAAAATGGTGAGGGGAAATCAAGAAAATAACTTGTTTTAAGAAATAAAAAAAGGAAAAGTGGTGCGTGCGTATGTACACTCACCCCCTTTGCTATGAAGCTCCTACATAAAATGTGGTGTAACAAATTACCGTATTTTTCGCTCCATAAGATGAGGGGGGAAATGTGCCTGCGTCTTATGGAGCAAATCCCGACGAGTAGCTTTATGCCGGGCGAGTAGCTTTATGTACATTTAGCCCTGCTAAAGCAGAGCTAAATGTACAGTAGGAGCCACTGCTCATTTAATACGAGTGATCTAGTCAGATCACTCAGAATCACAGCGCCACCTGTCTCAGCGGTCACTAACTGCAGCTTCTGTGACAGAAGGTACGCACTGTCAAGTGCTCCATAAGGTGCACCGGACCACGCTGCGTCCTATGGTCCTGTGTGTCTTATGGAACGCAAAATACGGTACCTTTAGAATTAACATGTAGAGACGTACCCAGAGGCGTAAGTAGAAACTTCAGGGCCCTGGTGCAAGAAACCATGAATGCCCCCCCACCCCACTTCAAAAAAAAATTGGCGCCTTGGCTGTTACTGGGGTAGTGCATGTGTGTGTGGTCACGGGACGCAGGGATGCCAGTAGAAATCATGGGACCCCGTACAGCCTACCTGACCATTCCTAGCAGCAATAATAATTAATGTATTATTGCTGCTGGGGGGAAATTATTGTTATTTAAGTGTTTAAAAAAACAATTTCCTCTTTCTTTCCGATTTTTCCCTAGCCTGGCTTCACCTCCTAGCTGTGATTAATCCCCACCATGACTCCCCCAATGCTGTGATGCCCCCCCCCCCCCCATGACTCCCACACTGCTGTGAGGAAGCCCCCCAGTGCTGTGATAAAGTCCCCACTGACTCAATGCTGTGATGATGAAGCCCCTGGGGTGTCTCGGATCTTCTGACCCAGGCATCTCTCAGCACTCAGGCCCTGGACCAGTGGCACCTAGCTCTCCAGCCAGCCCTAGAAGGACAGCTCAGACTCAGCCCAGACCAGCTTCCTGTTCCAGAAGCACTTCACGTTGAAAAATCTGGCTGCCCCCCTCACCCGTGCCATTGATTTTACAGGGGACCCCCCCCAAGTGGCGTAACGCCAGGGCCCGGTCGTTGCGACTGCTGCGACCCTGGTAGTTCCGCCAGTGGGAGTACCCCAAGAGACTTGCAGCTGTAATTATTATTTCTTGTTTGTATCACAATAAAAAATATTTTGCATCTTCAAAGTGGTAGGCATGTTGTGTAAATCAAATGTTACAAACCCCCCAAAAATCAATTTTAATTCCAGGTGATAATGTAACAAAATAGGAAAAATGCCAAGGAGGTGAATACTTTTGCAAGCCACTGTAGATCCTCTGTCAGGTGCCTATTGCTCACTGTGCTCCTATTGGACAGGTTGCCCTCACTTACTGTTCTGGGGACATGATAGTAAGTGATACTATCCCCTCTGTAACATAATTTTATTGCCCTTTGATCCCGCCAGTAGATATGTTTTTTTTTTTTTTCTACTTCCTGTTATAAAATAAAAATAAAACTGTTCGTGTTCAAGACACCATAGCAGTGTTTCACCATGTAGACAGTCTTGTCACCATGTGGAAATGCTTGACCTTTGTGATGAAGCCCATATTGGGTGCAACCTTAAAGAGGCGTGGCCCTAGGTAGGGCTTCAGCGTGCAATATCTTGGTTTAATAAAGTTGGATGTGACCTGACGGATGACAACACTGTTCATTCTGCAGTGAAGTCGCACAGCATGTTACCATGTTGGTAGGGCAGTCTTCCATAGGCATTTCATTTTAATTAGATTTAAAGTCCAGCTGAAATGTCTAAGAAGTTATAGAAACCAAATTTGTTTTTTTGCGGGGGGCCTGGGTTGTTAATGGAAGTTGGGGAAAAAACAGATCTGTTAGCAGGATCAACAGGTAAGAAATCCGTTACAGTGACAGACTGCATTACATATGTCATTTTTAATTTTGCTTGTTGCTCCAGTTTAAAGCAACTTGCTAGTCAACCCCCAACCCACTTATACTCGCCTTTCCCATTCTTCATTCCTTTGAGAGTCAGACCTTCAAGTTGGATGGTGTGAGACAACTGCATCACTGTAAGCTCCCCCATACCCGGAAGCGACAAGTATTTTCAGATGATGCAGCACTGTGAGTGCGAGTATAAGGAAGGTCCAGGGGTGGACTATCCTTGAACAGGCAAGCTGGCATACTCATTAAGGCCTGTGTCTAATGGCCCATGTTAACGGGCTTTGGGCTGGTGTCGTTGGCATCAGTTTGACATTAGTTTAAGACACTTTTGAGATCATTCAGAATTAATTGGCAGGTAGATTTAACCTGCATTTGACCTGCTTCAAGCAGGTTTGGCATTCCCATAGACTTGTATGGGAACGCATATCCCATCTGACACAAACAAAAGCCCATCAAAACGGACCCTAATACACTAAAACAATATTTGGAAAACTCTGTTACATTTCCTTCGTCCCCCTACAATCGGCCTTCACAGAATTCCGAAAGTCTAGGTGCTCTTTAAGTGATACTGTATAGTGAATGTTTGCAGTGCAACAATAAAAGAATAACATGTTAAACCTTTTTTGTTATCTAATACATTGTGTTTTTCTTTCAGTTTTGGACTTAAGCGATAAACGGGAGGCCTCAGTGCTTCGGTCCTGATGGATAGCTCACTTCTGGATCAAGCTCCACTACCTGTTTTTGCAGACGATTTGAATCCCCATTGTAGCTTACTCTAGGCACCCCTTAATATTGTGAGCTAGTAGTCTTATAACAAGCAAGTGCTAAGATTCTCACACCTGTGTGATGAAGGAGCTCACTCCTCAGGTGCATCATGTATATATTGTATTAACAAAGCCCCCCGTCCTTCTATTTTCATTGTTCCAGAGTTTCCCATTGAGCTCCCAATTAATTTAAATGTCACTTTTAGGAAAGAAAGTGTCTTGCGATAATTTGTGAAATACATAATTATGTTTTACTTTCTTGAGACATATAAATTGCTTTCATTGGTCCTATTTTGTTGAAGTAAAGGGGTACAATAACAAAGCCACAATCCCAATGTACATTCATCACTTTTATTTAAGCAGGATAGCTCTATTTGACGTTAAAGGGCTTCATAGCACAATTATGTTTGGGGGTTTTTTGTCTTTGGAAATGTAGTGATTGCCTTCACTTCGAAACTTCCAAGATAATTCCAAATACCATTCCTACATTGTAATTGTTTGACAATCTGAGGCTCTCCAACTGTTTAACTAAACTACCCATCATGATCTACAATGACTCCATGGGGCTTATTTAATAAGGCAAAGCACAGGGATGGATGCATTCATATAGAATTTTGGAAGCATCCTATCAAATGTGGGTGGCTGAAGCATACTCTTAAGTTGAAATCAATATAAAAAGTTTAACAAATTTGGCAGCATCTGTCATTTTAGATGCACTGGCTACTCAGTATTATGGATTCAGCCTTCCCTGGCAAAGTGCAGTTACCTATTGCAAGCAATCAACTTTCATTGTTCTCACAGATCTATACTGATGGAATGTAAGTCCTCATTACCACTGGTTACTGTATGTTGCTGTTGTTTTCAGTTCCATTGGAAATTATCCCACATGAGTGTTCTGGGCTGTTAGTATCTGTATGGAAAAGATATTGTTGAAGCTGCATAAAAAAAAGGAAAAGTCTGTTTGCCTGCAGCAGCCGGTCAGCTTTTTTTGGGTTGGAAAATGAAAGCTAGCCATAATTGGTCGGTGTTGGGGACACCCTTACATTACCTCTTTGTATAACTTACTCTTTTTTTAAAGACTGCCGTTTTTTCAGATTTTTAAGATGGGAACCTCAACACACAAGAAAAACATTGAAATAAGACCCCAAAAAGTCTTGAAGAGCATGCTGGGAATTTAGATCAGCAATGTAGTGTCACAGTTTGTTGACAGTTATGGTTTATTAAAGTGCATCATTAAATGTAAAAAGAGTATACTGTTTATCAACCAGCAGTTGTGCAATAATCCACATCCTAGCTCCATTTCCATTCACACATTTTTCATCTGTCCGTCCATCCTTCCCGTCAACTAGATCTACCACCTTTTAAGACTTTGATCATGTCATAATTGCATTCTTAACATGTAGGTAAATGTTTTAGACTGTGTATAATGCAGAATTGTTCAAAAATAAGAATTGTATGGAAGGAAAACAAAATATGCCTATTTTAATAGATCTATAAAGTTATTTGTAAAAGAAAAATGTAACAACCACTCCTTGATCTACTAGTGAGTTTCTTTTTGTTTTTTAACGGTTGTGAATTTTTTGTCAGCTATGAATTGTGATTAAAGATGTTTGACAAAGTAGCACAGTCAGCATACCTCCTGTTCTATATCTTTCAGCCTAAAATGCTGGAGCAGTGATTTTTGCACTTTTTTTCTAGCTTGTGCGATGGCTGTTGGAATTATGAAGCAAAGGCTAGGTGTTCCACTCCATACAGAATGACAGTGATTGTAATAAAACTAACCATATTAAACCAGATCACATCTGCCAGACAGAGGGCCACTGATAGGGGGTAGAGTCAGCCCTTCTATACCGGTCCAGGGCCCCATCAGTTTCGCAGGTGAGGCGGCCCAGGGCACAGAGGGGACTCAATTTGTGCCTTCGGTGTAGGTCCAGGCAGGTTTAGGCACCGCTGCCAGTTATGCTGTATGGGGCCCCATGGTTTCCATTAGCATCCCTGGCCACACACTTGTATAAATGCAGTAAAGCCCTATTAATAGGCTTATAACAGGCCAGTCATCTTTCATCTTGTTGCAAATATATCATTTAAAAGCATATATAAATTCTAGTTTATTAAACACTTTTTTATTTCCTTTACAGCAAATATTTTTTTTAAATGGCAGGTCTTTTAGATGCAAGATTTCAAGCGACAACCTTTGTTGCCAAGCAGCAGTTGGCAGAGGATCATGGGTAGGGTATCAGGTTATTGGCCAGAGTATCGGGTATGGCTTTTAATGCATATATGTATTCCCCATAGATCCTATGGATCGAAAATATTTGTGGATCCTGCTTACAGCCAAACAAAAACTTTTTGATTTAGATAGAAGGGAAAGGTTTTATTGCTTTCTCTGTCCCCATTCAGGAGATTTCCCCTTCCTGTTGTGTGGTCTAAGGGATGGAACTGATCAAATATCTGATGGATGCTGATAGCATCTAAAAACCATCTTCTTATGCATGCATTATTTCTTTTCTGTTTTTCTTTGTTTTTATTGAAAACATTTTATTATTTTACATCTAAAGACAAATAAGGAATACTGCATTGCCTCTTTAAAGCACATGCTTGCATATATGGAGGAAAATGAGTTTGCATGCTTAGTAAAGTGTTGTGGGACTGTTGTTAAAGGCCTCATGCACACGGGAGTCTGAAGATTCCTGCAGCAAAAACCTAATTGTTAACGTCAGGGTGACAGCGGCCACATGTGTCCATGGCTGTCCACATGTAATCGTATATGGTATGATTACCAGAAGATTGGGAGATTCTTGTCTTGAGATTAAATGAGAACTATGGGGTCAGTGTTTTTCCCCATAGTTCTCCTTGGGGTAACGGGAGGACACAAACTAGCGTCCTCCCGTCACCCTAAGCTCAGTATACCGCGAGCTACAGCTCGCGGTATACAGAGACGCCGCACCTGGAGCGGATCCCGACTTAGATGACGGGATCCGCCCAGCTGCGTGAGTGACAGCTGGCTCTGCCTATCTAGAGGCAGAGCCAGCTGTACCCGCCCCCTCCCCCGTCCGTTCCGCCAGTCAGCGCTGGCAGATCAGAGCGGGGAGAGGGGAATCCAGCCCCTCCCTCTGTCACGGCAGAGAGCCGTGACAGGATCGAGAGGTGAGGGAACCCGGTATGTTTTCCCTCACCTCCCGATCTACTGAGCCGACCTGTGACAGTCTCATTGTCACAGGTCAGCTTAGAACTATGACGTGAGTGGAAATCACTCATGTCATAGTTCTCCTTTTAAAGCTATCCGTGTCCCAGGACAATTGTCTCTCCCGATCCGCAGGTAATCATACCATTTTACGTTTACATGCATGCAGCCACTGTCACCCTGTGATTAGCTTGAATAGGCACAGCCGTCACATCTGTATGGACACTACTGGGATTGCTGCCACAAGAATCCATAGATTCTTGCCACAGGAATCCCCAGATACCTGTGTGCATGAGGCCTAAAAGCCTAACCACTGTTTAACAATACAATAGGCCGAGATATGAAAAAAAAATGGATAAGAAAACGCCTGTGTTTTTCACAAAGCAGCCAATCACATGCCAGCGTCATTTTTTACAAAGATGCCATTAGTTTTGCCACTATAGAAAACCCAGGCAAAGTTTTCCTTTCATGAAACAGTGGACATCCTTTAGAGACAACATGAGTTAAGATTCTTGCCTCTTGGCGCCTCAGCTGCCTCATGCCTACAACTGCCACAGAAAAATTGTGCACTAATCCCCCAATGTTGATTACAGTAAAACTTGCCACAATTCTGTGGGGCAGGACCTGGCAATAGCGGCAGCACTTATCACTGGTGTGGGGCAGCCTCTTCGCATAAAGAAAGCGGAACATTCCAGAACAGACACTTTTCCCCTTTGGTTTTCAATTACCTCACCGAATGGCAGATCGCCTAGTTACTTTTTACCTACTAGATCAGGGGTAGGTGAACTCCGGCCCTCCAACTGTGATAAAACTACAAATACCATTATGCATCTGTCTCAATGAGTCATGCCTGTGACTGTTAGAGTGTTACAATGCCTACTGGAACTTGTAGTTGCACCTCAGCACGGAGTTTGCCTACCCCTGCTCTAGATGATTGGATTTGGCTGGATTCAACTATTGAATGAGATGAGTTGAAATAATCACGCATGCAGCAAGTGTACATTGAAAAGATATTTCATATTTTTATTTGCTGTGTTTGACAGAACAGAAAAGCTGTTTTTGATAATGCAGCTTCGAGAACAAAGTATATGTGTTTTAAAAAACAATGTATTACATAAGAAATGTAGGCTTATTACCCAGCAAAATGAGGTAGCATCTGCTATTTATAATTCTTGGTTGACAGGAAAGCAGCTGCTGTTTTTTTTTCTTCTCCTAACTGATGTGTTTTTAATGTAATGAAGGGTAACCAAAGGAAAAAATGTGTAGAGGTGCTCTATATCTGTAGAGGTTCAGCGTCCCCTCCACACACAGTGAAGGCAGCCATTTTGTGACCTTGGTTCGTTATAAGACTAGACCCTGTTATGTCACCAGGATTTGGTTACAGTGATGTCACTAGATCCTATTGATTTAATAGGCGTGTATTGATCTAGTTCTGTTAGTACCATTCAGGTGCCATTTAGAGACTAGTGTCACCCAAATCATGTATTTAATTTTCCCAATGGACACTATAAACCTAAATGTTATTGTTCTGAGAGTCCAATGTCCTTTACCACAGCTGTTATTACTCTGGACTTCAGGCTGAGGGAGGTTGTTGCTTTCCCTTTATCACCTAGAAATAAATGGTGAAACCAGCAGCAGCAACAAGAGAGCTTCCACCCTTAGGAGAACAAGGGGGTTGTCTGCGTGCTTCTGAAACTGCTCGTTGTGTATCTTATGCTGAACCTGTGACTTCTAAGTCTCTGGCAAGCATGCAGATCAGGATTTCTGATTTCACTGGATGTATGCTTAATCAAAGTCAGGGACTCATTGTATTAAAGTCAAAGGATCAGCATGACTTTCTGGGCAACCAGCATTTTCAGGTGTCAGTCAGTAATAACGGCCTCCCATGTATCTCTGACTAAAGTATATGTAATAATAGCAATGTTGGTGTGGGGATGACAGAGCTTCTTGAGGTAGACATGTTGCTGGACTCTAAGAAAGAAATAAGAAGATGAAGCAATACAACACACTGGCATTTACCTACAACCGAT